ATACAGATGGTAGGTCTGGTTCTTCATATTTGTACTCCTCTCTCAGGTTTTCCTGTATTTTGTTTTCGCTTATTCGGTTAATTGTGTCGATATTAGGAGTCACAAGCGACCATATCTAACAAGAGTTTTGAACGCACTAATAACAAACTTATTATTTCGTTTACTACAAACCCTTCTAACCTGCCAACTATCAGATTGACAATGGCAAATAGGCGTTCATCGATGAGTTATGGAGCTCACTCGTCCCGTTGTGTTTCTCGAGCCTAGCCAGCAGCCGATCGACGGCTAATGTATATTATAAGCAGAAATACGTTACCCACAACGACAGGGGATACTGTAATGGCCATTTCTGGCATATTAACCGTCATCAGTCAGCCATACCAAATCACAAAGGTGGCAATCCCCGAGGTTGGAAGCCGCGACCTTGTTACTTAGGAGTCCAGCGCTCTACCACTACGCAACGTGTTCATTGCCTCGCTGGTTTCGATAGGTTACGGAACTTACTCATCCCATTACGACGTGGTGCTCGCCCTCTAGCGCAGCCAGAAGCCGCTAAATGGTTAGCGTATATTATAAGCAGAAATACATTGCTCACAAAGGGAACGGAGACTGGAATGGTCATTTGTGGCCTATTAGTCGTCATCAGCTAGGTATAGCAGTCAGGGCTCGCCACCCCTGAGCTACGACACACCCATGGTTGTTGTTGTTGTACTAACTTATCGACACACCCATGGTATTAGGTATGGTCGGCTGAGGATGGCTTATAGGCCAGTAATGTCCATTATAGTCATCCTTGTCTTTGTCGGTAATGTATTGCCGTTAATCAAATTAACATCCTAAATTCTTAAAATGTAATTGTTCCTTCGTCATTTAGCAGACAAAAATTGCTTTCTTCTAGATTCGTCCCTGGAGAGGTGGCGTTTGTGCTCTGGTCTCACCGAAGAGGGGCAGTTTCGCGAATTCAGGTCGCGGTGGAAGGAAGAAGTTGCTACACTATACCTCGGCGACAACAGTCACAACGGCAATGCCTGTAAAAATCCGAGAGACCGTGTCGGCGGCTGACGGTCTTACTAGCCCGTCGAACAGCAACCGAAATCCAGCGCCTCGGTGCCTTCGTGGTGGTGGCACTAACCCCCGTTGTCGGCGGTCGTCCATTGGCACTCGCAAAAGGTGCCCACCTTCATCGCAAGAGACGTTTCAACCCATTCGTCTCATCATTCGCCTGGGACGTGACACCCCAACAGCTGCAGCTACTTCCGGAGGGGACGGCAAAATGGTCCTGCACAATGTTAGCGGAACTCCCCCTTCGGACTCTCCCATCAGTTCGCCGAATGCACCCTCCAAGGGCTCCCTACACGAAGACCAATTGTCTCCACCATCTGCGAGCGTATCTTTGTCGAGCGAACTGACAACACGTAACTCCTCTCAGGACATGAGCGATCTGGATATCGTCTTCCTCGTCGCTCCGGAGGCTGAGACCTTCATAGACTCAAATCAGGCGCGTGTTCGTCGTTTGCGCAACCAGGCTATGGAGGACGTTTACGGCCATACAGACACAAACCACGACGAAGATAACGATGGGGACGATTCCAGCTCGTCCGATGAGATGCCTAGGGGTCCTGGCGATAGTATGCGCGAAGCGACGGCAAGACATCCACAGGTCGTGCATACTTACCACCAAGCCTCACATATTCGTGAAAACTCACAGGCCTCTGAACATCCTCACCACCAACTCTATCGACAACAGGAAAACCACCTTGACAAAGTGAAGGGTGATCATCAACCGCCACCATCGAGTGGTATCAATTACCGTAACTTCGATCTTCGCTCAGATGATGCACTCCATCGAGACTATAGTTTCCACCTCGAAGTATCTACGACGACGACGGCTGTAGCGACTCCATCCAGTGCGCTCACTGTGAGCCAGTCAGTTGCTAGTCAACAGCTGCACTTCCAAACTCAACTAACTGATCTCGGATCGGGTCATTCTTCGCCTCCGACAACCTTATCACCCAGGTAATGTCAATTTCTGTTCGTTACTAACTCCATCATCTTTTAATTTACTATATTGGCGAATAATTTGAATGAATTCTGGGTTTCATGACTTTCCCATAGCTCCCAGGAGAGCATTCTTATGTTTACAGAAACCTCCTGATATTACTTTTTGTTGGGTAACCATTCTTGCAGGCGAATATATTTCAAGCCGTTGCTTTTTTTGTCGGTGCGGCTTCCTCTGTAACGAGTCAGACGCACTTAAATCTACTACAACACCCTTATAACCATAGATTGACAGGCTGCCTGCCAATTAACAGGATAACTGTCATTGAGAAGAAGCATATGTGATCACTGAGACAAGCATTTTATCCGCCTGTCGTTTCGAAATCCTCTGCGGATCCATCATGAGAGACAGTAGCAGAAACGGGTACTTCCTACACAGAAATTTGCAGTATTTATAGGATACAATTAACGGGTTCCCCCTATCGACGATAGTTGCCCGCTTGTGCGCTCATTGCTTGATGGCCGGCGTGCGGGTGGCAACCTGCTGGTTTTGTATCACCTGTGGTAGACTTAGGCGTGATGATATCTTGGCTAGCTGGATACCGGGCGCCGGCGTTAGATAACGCGTTGGCCTGTGCGTTACCCAAGTGGCGAATTGCTTTGGACAAACCGAGTCTCAGCACCGAATATGGATCGGGCGGGCCTTTGTACTTCTTTACAGACTAGGAGTCCGTGAACCATGACTCACGAGCTGGGGTTAGTGTGTAGCGTCTAGGCGCTATTTGTCCTTAGAGCACTTCAGTCATCAGATCGAATCCTGGTTTGTTGGGTCAGACCAAAAATACCTGTGGCAGGGATTTATTATGCACAGTACTCCCAGTTGCTGTCTCAGTCAACAGGGGTCAATGGCGAAGCTAGGGCTGATATTGATTGCGTCCTGTCATGCCCGGGATAGTTTGAGACAGTAATGACAGCTGCTTTGTGGAGCAAGTTCAAGTAGTATACATTTCGCGAGGTAGGGTATCTACTGTAGTTACACACCACAAGTGATGCATCAATGGAGCATCTTTTCTTCTCTCAACCCACCCCATCT